TTTCCATTTGATTCTCCACTATATTGACCATAGGTACCCCTAATTTTGGGAAACCCCCATATGGAATTCCTAGAAGTGCATGACAATTTTCATAGGCTTCTTGGTAACCTGAGACCTGCTGCCTCATGGATTTCGCATGATGCCCGTCAGGGTCTTCTTGGGTTCCACAAGCAAACCTTCGCTTTGTGAGCCCCATATCAGCGATAGAGTCCCTGAAGGGCTTTGGAGGCCCTATCCTTACGAACACCCCTTCCAAGGCGTGGTGGTTCGAATCGTTTCCTCTAAGCTGAAACTGGCTTTTGCTTTAAGATACAGCAACTGATCCAGTTGGTTTGAGCGCGGGATACTGGTAGTTTCCAAACATAGGGGGACCCCAATATAGACCCCAAAATACAATGGGACTTTTTTCAAGGACCCTCCCAAGAAAGGTACCCCAATTTTAGGAAACCCCATTGCGAAAGAGAATCCTATCTTCACACTCCAGGCAATTCCCTCCACAAACCAAATCCTAAACCCTAAACAGCAGCTTCAATTTTCTTTTCCATTGTCCCTATATAACCGCAGTAGAATCCCAATATAACCCTAAACCCACAACACATCGATCCGGCCTCTTGGGGTTCATCATCCCAGCAAATGTAAGGGGTGGGTAATGTAGAGCCATGAATAATAAGCCCCTCCTTTTAAGGGCCTAAATAGGATCCCTATTATACTCCCTATTAAGGGGAGGGGGTTTGCTAATCAGGGGTCTGGGTTACCATTTTGGGGGGTTCTAGAATCGTAGTATTTTGGCATCAGGGTTGAAGCCCACGAACAAAGAACCAACAGAATTCTTGTACGGAAACCTTTGGTTTACTCTCTCGACGTCGGGGAGGCAGTACTCAACCCTTGGTCGCCAGCGTCTCTTTGCGATGACTATTGGCAAACACATATAGTCCCTCTTAAGTAGATAGAATATGGGGTATATGGGGTTCTTATTATAATATACCCAAAGCCATATTCTATCTACTTAAGGGAGACTATAACCGCAACCTCTTTCCAGCCCCCGAGGCAACCCATTCTTGGCACTTTTTTCGGGCAGAGGCAGCTGTTGAGGACAAGCCTGGAAGAGCGCGTCGGGCTACGTCTATTGATGGATGAAAATAAGGATTTGCTTGCACCCAGGACCCAGGATGGTTGGCTTCGAACTGCTGGTCCCTGGCGCCTTAAGCTGCGGCCTCTTGATAGGCTTGCTTCCTTTACCACTCGGCCGTCTTTCCTACAGTACAGTACAGTAGTTCCTGTCTTCTGATGCACGTAGGCACTTCGCCGCCAGCTGCAGGTGCAATGCAGTAACTCCTCGTCATTCATCAGGAGAAAAGGTGCGGCACAGGCCGCCCACTTCCGTCTGCCAGGTGCTACGCCGCAGTCCGTTTCGGCTGCTGCTGGGTTGAGCAATGAATGCCGCCCCCGCCCTCTGCAATGTTATCGATGTTCCTAGGCTGCTCTGGACGAGACCCAATTCCCAAATGCCTTACTGAAGTAGACATTGGGGCACTGGGCTGTAGACTTGCGAAGGGTGACACGCTCATTTACACCACGGACTCTTATCCACTTCAAAGTATATATGACGTTATATACCCTCAGAATGCTTGGGAAGAGATTGCGTAAGCTATGGCTGTAGGCGTATGTAAGGTGTTGACCAACAACGTAGTGGGTTCCTTGTTGCGTGAGCTGTGGTAATTTCTTTTCACAACCACAATTTGGTCACCCCACGCCACCTAAAAAAGCAAGATAGAAGAGTCGTATGTCAGTCGTATGGTCCTTTATAAGACACTTTCCTAAGAAAATGTTCCGTGTGAAGTCCCCTGAGCTGGACAAACTCCGTGGTTGGAACCTCGTGCAATCAACTCAGATTTCTCCTTACCAGCCAAGCCTGAACTAGCCCCTAGTTATCCCTGAGCCCGAATTAAGGGCAAACCCCTGAGAACCGCATCCAAGCTTCAGCTGCTCTATAACCCGGCCCGGAAACAAAGCTGTCAGTGTCTGAAGAGCATGAGCATCGGCGCGCGAGTCTCCAAACCTACCGTGATTCTATTCTATTGCGATAAAATTATCAATACCATGTTGAAGTCGGTTTGAGCTACCCTAAAATGAACACAAACTAAACGTATTTCAGCCATTTGAGGCCCTATCTTTTTGGAGTTGGATTGACGAAATTCAACGTGTTTAGGCAAAACAAGGGTTGAGGCTTTGAATGGTCGGATGCAAGAATTGAATTGGTCTTTGATTCCAGCTGCGGTCATGACTTCTTTGTCTTCAAGTCTTGAAAGAGCGCAAAAATCCGAAACGGAAGCCAAGAAACTGAGGAACCAGAACTGCTCCATTCAGGACGTAGAAATTCACGTACCCCGCAGCGAAGTCATCGGACTTGCTCCGTACTGAGGAGGGCCTTCGGTTTAGGGTTTATGAGGTTTCGGGACCCTTACTGATCTGCGGACCCAATTGAAAACGTAAGTGGAACACCCCAAACAACCCAAGATCAGCCACGCCAAACAGGTGGCCCTCAAACTAAAAGCCCCCATGTAAAGGATCTGTATCATAGGAACCTCAGAAGAAGGTTCACAATCCTCAGAAACTCACCTTCGACCTATTTGGAGGATCAGTGGGACGCAGTAACTGGATAAATAGTCGGGATAATTATATGATTTGTAGGAGTTATAAGCGATATGCTTAGTCGTCCTGACCGTCCATGCAAGCCTCGAATTCTCAACTCTCAGCCCTAAATCCGTAAATCCGAAACGAAGTCAAAGCTGCAGAACCTCAAGGGCTCAGTGGTCAGGGTTTAGGATTTAGGGCTTAGGGCTTAAGGTTTATGATTCAGGTTTAGGGTTTAGCTTGGGTACTCCCCCCCCCGTAAGAGTTGGATAATAATTATAATATACTTATATATAGCCCTTAATAGGACCCCTAGTATAGACTGTTACTGGGTGGGGGCAGTACCCAAAGTTTAGCCCAAAGACCCAGACCCCTGAAAGGAACAACTTCATGTGAGCTCTAGTCTAAACTCCTAGTATCCACCATGAGGACCCTTGTAATACTCCCCTATACGATCCCTTATATACCCCCCCTTTTAGGAGCTTAGACTATAGCTCATGTAGGGGTCTAAATGATTACCACTACAATTTTCAGGTCCATTTGAGGTACCCTACAAACCTACCAGGAATCTATTACCACAGTTTTTGTAATCACCTTTGCCGTTTTTGGCATAATATCCTGTAACCCTGAACCCTAAGCCCTAAGTATCCGCTACAACCCACGTGAAGGGAACGTGTATACCTATGATATTGGTAACGATTTAGCTTCCCTAAACCATTTAGGGCAAATTCCTATAGCGGACCCCAAATAGGACAGACCCCGCTAGGAAGGACTGTTACAACGTGCTGACCAGGCTATTTAGACTTAGAGGTTCCATTCTATATGGAGCTCCTTGGGGTTTAGGGTTTAGGGTCTAGGGTTTAGGGGATCTACCCGAAAATTACTTTGGGTTTTAGAGTTTAGGGGATCTACTTGAAAATTACTCACGAGAAAAGGCACACTGGAAGGGGAACCAGCTCAAACGCGCGGCCCTTGGCATCTGTAGCGCCACGAAGGATGGCCATGTGTGCTTCAGTGACCTCAGGGGCTGTCGGGATGACACGAGAATTATAGAGGGATCATGTGGGGTTCTATAAGGATTTATAAGGATCATGTGGGGTTCTTAAGGATATACAGGGTATTGTGGGGTTCTATAAGGATATATAGGGTTTTGTGGGGTCTTATAAGGATATATAGGGTATGCAAGAATGATGGAAGATGGACAGGAAAATGGCGAATGAAATGGAAACGGGATTATCTAGCGGTTCAATCGGTTTGGGTGGCTTGGGGGGTGGCCGAAAAAAGATATATATGTAAACATTAGGGTGCCTTGCCATTGTTTGCCCGCATGTGACGGCGGGGCCTTTAGGATTAGTATGGCCAGCACATCATTTAAGACTGCTTTCGCTGGAAGATTGGGCTGACAATTTCAATCCGGTCCAAAATCGTGAAGTTCCCCATGGGTCTAAGCCGTTTTTTTTGGCAGACTGCCGGCTTCAAGGTTCAGGAAGTCGTCCTGGGCAAGGTGTCCAAAATTCACTGGCATGCGCAGCTTTCAGCTGCCACGTGCAGCACTTTCAGCTTACGAGGTTATCCATGTACGACCATGTCCAAACAATGACAACGTCCACTTACGAGAGCATCGATATTCCGTTCGCATCCATGCCCAAGCCATGATAAGATGCAGCACTGACTCCCAGACACGAAAGTCCCGCAGCAATCCACAGTTTCTTGAAACCTCTTGAAAACCAGCGGCATTCTGAGACACGCGGCCTGCAGTACGGCGAAAGCTTGAAAATGCTGTGCCTTACGGGAACATGTGCATAAACATGTGGCACCTGAGCCGTGCCCACAAGGCGCTTGATCAGCGGGCATGCAACCGCTTAAGCAGCGGCAAGCGCTCGTGTCTGTCGCACCATCACGGAGCTTGATACGCACGCCGGGACGCGAGCAAGTCGAAGAAGCGGACGATGACGTACCCGGCAGAGGGGTTTAAGGCTGGGGATGCAATTGCTTGGGAAACTCAAGAGTTGCACAGCACAGGGGGGGCAGGGCGCACTTCTGCCAAGAGAGGCCTACCAACTTCCCTCCCCATGCCCCCCAAAAAACAGTCGGGCGCGGCAACAAGTTCAACCAGAGTCTGGGCAATATCACCTTAGCATGCAAACTACTGACGCACTCACAAAGCCTG